CCCCCTCCTCATCAGCATCATCATCATGGTCGGTCTGCACACTTGACTGAATCTGCAGTCAGGTGTGCTGAGAAGTCAGCACTTGTTTTCATTTTCAGCCTTGCACCTATCCCACCTCAGGTGACCGATGATCTATGCGGTGGCCTGTTGCTGGTGGTGGAGGGAGAGAATGAGGTCAACCTTCCGCGCACCTCTTTCCTCAACAAAAACAATCTGATGGGCTTGAAACCATCACGGAGCGCTAAAAACTGTGGCTTGGAGAGTTGCCAAATGACGGGATAACTTGGACACCACATTCGACCCAGTGTGTCTCTTGTTGTGTGAAGTGGCTTACTGCGAGCTGAGAGTCAGGCTCAATGGCTCCTTCTTAATGTGGCCTTTATGGCGCTCTCGCATACGCGGGAACCGACCTAGCGAGGCGTGCTGTTGGTAGGCCTGTTGAGTGTTGGTCGCCCCAGCCGCCTGAGCCCTCCCTCACATCCGAGCTTCTCGACTTTTGCTTTGACATCGGGTCTGGTGTGGGAATGGGGAGTGAGGGTAGGTGCTTTGCGAGTCCACTTTCACTATAATCCAGTGGAAGTCACTGCGTTTGCCTTCGATCCAGTGAAGCTCGTGGTGGACATCGTCGAAATGGACGGTCGAACTATCGGTGTGCTGACACTACGAAGTATGCTTCATCCGCTTATCTCTGCCCGATTTCTGTGCTAGATCAGCACCAAGTGAGGTAAGCGGAGCGATTTCTCTTAAGTACGAAGCAAATTCATATTATTCACACTGGTTGATGAACGTTCACTGATCGCTGACGGAACTCACTTGCTCCGCGCTGCCTTGGAGTTCATGCTCTAGGTAGATAATACTGCTGGCAAAGACAAGGGGTCTCGGAACGGCCATTTCTGGCTTATTAGTCGTCGTTAGCCTGTCCTACCCAGCTGGTCCACCGCTCGAACCTCGAACTCAAGACCTTTCTGATCAGAGTCTAACTCCCTAGCTATTGACCCACGAGCCCGTTGTCTTGCCGGTTTAGGTCAGGAGATACTTATACCTTGAAATGCAGTGTGCATTAAGCTGATAGCACTGTCGGCAAAGACAAGGGAGACTAGAATGGCCATTTCTGGTTCATTAGCCGTCATCGACCGGTTATACCTCCCAATCTAAACCGGCAAGAGCACAAACCCGTGGGTCAATAGTTAGAGCATTAAGCTCTGATCTAAGAGGTCGCAAGTTCGCGCCTCGGGTGGTGCGCCACTTAGAGTTGGGTATGACGGACTAATGAGCCACGAATGACCATTGTAATCCCCTTTGTTTCTTCCGGCAATGCTATCTGCCTCATTCACAGTATGTTTACAGTAGTTGACGCAACGCACGAGGAGTGATGATTGAAGCATAGGTCACAATTTTGAGGTGGTTCACATTAGCTTTTAAGTTTTACGCAATATTAATTCTTATTTTTTTTCATGCACAATATTTTTTTTATGAAAAAAAACGTTTACAATTTTAGGCTGAAATTGATGCCATCGCATACCCCGTTTGCGATTTCTTACGGCAGTGACTATCCCGTCTTCGAATTTGCAAGTAGACATTAAGCTGCATGTGAAAGATGTACCAGAGCCACCGTCACTAACTTTAAAGTGAATTTTCCCTCTGCCTAATTAAAGCGAAGCAAAATGTGCATAAGCACGATATTTTCAGAAAAACGCAACACATTAACTTTCTTCAGAATTTACCGAGCAAGGCAAGGACTAATTTAGCTATTCATCAGCAAAATACCCAAAGGAAATGTTTATCAACCGAGTAACTTATTAAAGAATGTTGTTTTAAATCGTTTCAATTTTGTCGCTGATGAGGTTTTATGCTTAAGTTAGGCCACAAATGAATCAGACAGCGGTTTGTATGAAAACAACGCCCGAGAACCCTTCACCGCACCAGTAAAAACGTGTAAGAGCTGCGTTTTTCTTAAAGGCTTTGATAATCACTAACTGACAATCATATAATTATTGACAACCGATTAAGGTCAATGAAACTGCCACGTATTCATGGATATTTCAATGATACTACGGAACCCAGCGTTCGAAATTTTCCCCAGCACGCATGAAACAATTTTACAAAACAGAAACTGTTCCGATAGAAAGAAAATGGTACTTTTTATTATTTACATTTTCGTGATGCCCCTTTAAAATATACTCCAACATCCACATGTTTCAATACTATGCATTGCACAAAACGTTGTAAAATAAATGAACACCACTCGCAAGGACAAGACAGACTGAAATTGCTGTTTCCGGCTCATTAGTCGTCATCAGCCAGTCACACCCAATAGCGATAGTAGTACTCTGCCTACCCCACTAGTCGCTTTGCGGCAATTGACGGCGCTCGAGAATGCACCATAAGGCAGGATGAGACGAATGAGTTCCCTTCGCTATCAGTGAGCGTGTTGATAGTTATTGGGGTCGTCAACAGAAGGTCTCCCAAGTCGCAAATCGGAGAAGACGGAATTAACTTGAATAGCTTTACTACCGGAATATGAACTATACAAAGGCTGCGTCACGCGCCATTTGCCAGCTATCTCTGCACGCCAGGTATGTCCGTGAATTTGTGTTTTTTTGTGAGGCCTTGACTGAAGGATGAATACTCTGTCGTCTGCAGCCAATCAAGTGAAACGGGAGTATCGATTAGCTTCTAGCGTACGCGCGGCAAGTCGACAGCCAGCGTGATGAAGGACAGGAGTGTGCAGTGTGCAAGGCTCGGAGAACGAAGATAACATAAGTCAGCAAGAGCTCCCACAGTTCCTCCTCCAAGACCGGAGGGCGGCGTAAAACGACACTGGAGGTCAGGCATAAGGCTAGAAGTAGTGCGAGACTAAACGACCGGGTAGTGGACGTGTTCACTTTCTCGTGAGAATCTCGAACCTGTCGTGTAGTCCGGCGCAATCTGCCTATACCTGCTGGTCTCCAAACCCCTACAAAGAGACCGCATGCTCGCAGGAAATCCCAAGTGTCCTAGAGAATCACCACGTGAAGATGAGAAATTTGGCAAGCCCGTTTTACCATGCTATGCCTATTGCTTATTTCTCAGCTATCGACACAGTTATAGCATATAACAATACTAGTTGATGATTGAGCAGATTGCTCCCCTCTTACACAGAAGACCTCTCCTGA